TTTCCAAGACTGGATTCTTGTCTTTTGACGTCTGCAGATTCTCTATTTCAGAAGCACTAATTTGAAGAGGCTTCTTAATCTCTTTCGGAACAGGAGCATCAATCTCTAATCTTCCTCCCTCATTTGTTAGCCCGGTAGTCTCGCCTTGAGCTACAGCGGGCACTGAGCTCGTAATGACCACATCTCTTTCCTGTCCTTTCAAACCAATCGGACTCTCAATCTCCCTCATAGGGAAAGCACTCTCAGAAGCAGCATAACCTCTCTGATCGATACTCTGACCAACTTCATATCTTTGGTTCTGGGTAATACTATCCGGTACAGATTTTCTTCCTTCAACTTCACGATTTGAAGTTGGTTTTACTGCGAGGATTAGCACTACCACACTGAGAACTAAGATAAGTATATTTTTTCTATCCCGCATCGCTACACCAGCTGCTTTGACTAGGAGTTCCGTGAGTGTTTCATCTCCATCTACCGTCCTTGTGGGAGTCCTTGGTTTCGAAGCAGGAGTATAAGTAGAAGAAACCTGTGCTGTTTCACTTCGGGTAGAAGCTTTCTCATAGATATCCCTTAGTCTCGTTTCTTCCGCCTCCTTTTCCTGTTTCGCGATTTTTTGTCGTAAATTGCCTTCCTCCTTCAGTTTCCTCAACACTTCTTCTTCCTCCATAATTTCTCTAGCTCGCTCCTCAAGAACTCTCTGTTCTGCAAGCTCTGCCTCGAAGATACGTTGTGCTTCTTCTTCTAATGCTACTTCTTCTTCTTGAATTCGTTGGGCTTCTGCTTCCAGCTCTTTGGCGGCTTGGTCTTCATCGTTATGTTGTGGTGGCCCGGGATCCAGATCAGCTGACTCTTGAGCTCTATTCACTTCTTCCAAAAGCCGTGTAACTTCAGTTTCAGCTTCAGTTCGTAATTTCTCGACTTCTTTTTCCTGAAGTCTCAAAGTCTCTGCTTCAACATGAAGTTCCCCAGCTTCTTCCTCTGCTTTTTGGAGTCGCAAGATTCCGGCTTCTTCTTCAACCCATCTAGCTTCTTCCTCTTTAGCTTCCGCCAAATCTTCTTCTCTCAACCTCAAGAGTTCAGCCTCCCTCGCGCACTTCTCCGCCTCTTCTACCGCAGCCTGAGAAGCAGCAGCCAACCATTCGTTTCTTTGAATTCTCTCTTCCAAGCCACCTCTCTTCTGTCTCAATGTAACCTTATCCATTCCCTGCTCATGTAGCCTCTGAGCCTCCGATCCTAAACTTTCCCTACTCGAATCATCCGAATAAAGTCCATAACTATCCTCATCTCTCTCTTCCGCCTCTCGTAGTCTCTCGATCAAATCCTCCATATCTTCAACCATCCATGGTTGAACAAATGGTTCAATTTCGATATCTACTCTTTCCATCTCTCGCCATGCGGCTGCCCAGGCCCCAGCTCTCATTAAGCCGTTGCTTGCGAAGATTTTGACGTTGAATCTTTTATCATCTTCGTCTTGGTCATCATCTTCGTATCTGACGTCTCGACGGCAAATATCGCACCAGACTTTTTCTGGCCTGGGTCTAAATCTTCCAGTGCTACCAAATCCACTGTCTCTTTCGTCTGAGTCATCGTCCGAGGATGTGGTGTTAGGACCCATATAATGCCCACATCGGAGAATTTTAGCTCGGGGACGGACTGGAAGTTCCAAAGCATCAAGAAAACGCTCTTGAAGACATTCATAACTATCTTGCGGATGTGGAAGTAATATTCCACGAGTGAGAATGGTTTCGCTGAGCTTCTCCTGTAAAAGATAATATGCCTCACGAATACTGTAAAGATTGGCGGGAAGTTCTGGAGCAAGTATAGCTTTGGCGTATTGCCATTGCAATGGAAGAACGGTAACATGAAGGAGTACAAGAGAGGATTCTTCTCTAGTTTTCTTGAAACGAGTTGGCGTACGACTCTTGGAGTATTGAGAACCAGTTGGAGTGCCAAGACGAGAAACCGTGGGATTTTGTTGTCGTTTTACTGAATAAGGGGTGGAAAAGAGTGAAGGGGCTGGTGAATACATTTGCATCGCCCTGATATCTGACGGTGTACGGAATGGATGACGTGGTACTTTTCTCGGACTGCATGACGAGTCCATTGCTCTTGGTGCAGACGCGCGAGAATGAGAACTACCGCTAGGAGTTCTTGAGATGATAGATTCTGTTGCAGCTTCTTCACCAACAACCGGTGAATTGAGCTCAACCAATTGGTGAGCTTCTTCACTCAAATTGAGATGTCGACTTGATTGCCATGAGTGCCGATTGCTTATGTTCACTTTGCTGGGTTCTTCCTCCGCGGAACCTATTGACAACCGAGGACTCTTGTCGGAACCATCAGTGAAAACATCGTCTTCGACATCTCCATAGCGTGAGCTGCTATCTCTTCTTTCCATATCATAGTCCCCACGTTCTGTTTCGGCATCGGTACTAGAAAGATCGTGGTGAAGAATACTGTCCTCGTTCTCCGTTTGTTCTTCGTCTTCCATCGTATCGTTTGCGATATCATATGTCAATTCCGTTCCGTCTTGCCCGTTGTATGAACTTCTTTCGTAGCTCTCGTCGGTTCCCGCGCTCGAGAGAGAATCATCATGATCTTCTAGCTCACAGGTATCCGCCGTTTGTGTGCTGAGGATTAAATCGTTGTAGTCGTTCGTGGCCGTACTCCTCGTGGGATCCTTCTTTTCAATGCTCTCCACAACCTTTCGCGCTGCATCCTTGATCTCCGCATCGATTCGCCGCATCTGTAGTTCCCTTGCCTCTGCTCGTTTGCGCTTCTCATCTCTTGCGTATTTGCAGTCTTCGCAGTCATCATGTTCGTTGTGTTTCGTTTCTGTGCCTGCGAGTATCGAATCGTCCTCTTGTAACTCTGGTAACGCTTGATCCAATATTAAATCTCCTTCAATCTCAGATCCCTCCATCTCCAACCTCTCTTCTGTATATCTTTGTGAATCCTCCACCTGAGACACTACTTCACCAATATCTTTCCCCTCACTTGTCGCATTCTCCCCGTCTACTTCCTTGGTATCTTTATCTTCAACCATATCATTCAGAGAATTGGAATCTTCATGAATATTAAAATCCGATTGTCGACGAGAACTTGATTGCGACATTTGACCTCGACTTTCCAATATAATCCCGTTAAGTATACCCGTTTATAGCGATGATCGGGAAGTAAATATTGACGGATCTGTGAAACAGTTCATGCAGCAACCCGTCGATTAATTTTGATGATTGGTACGAGGATGAAGTTGGAGGGTTTGACAACAAGTGTACGGAGTGATTTTACAAGAATCTCATTAGTTAACTAGTGAACTAACATGCAGAAAGAATAGGAAGCATATCTGTCCAAAATGAATCATTTGAAACCATGGGAAGATATCTGATGAAATGGAAGAGTAAATGTTGAGATTGTTGGGTTGTCGTGGTGACCATGTAAATATTTGTAGGGGACCAGGGGGACGGATCTTTTAGCTCTTACCCTTCTTAGAAGTGCCAAACTAAAAGGTGGAAGGAATTGAGGAGAAATCCAACGACGAACAAATCAATTGAATATAAAATGGTAATGAGGCAGGGGTGAATTGTTTCCGGACTCTTTTTCGGGTTGGATTGAGAATCATCTACCAAACTTTGGAGAATGTCGGTGAGTGTCAAAAAGTCAATGTCAATGTAGGTACGTACCTACCTAGTTCACGATGCTTCATTTTGGCGTACCTTTTGACGTTTTGTCGGTTAAAAGAGGTCAAAGGACCACCAATTGAACATTGCTAGAAAGTCGACCTGCGCCGAAGTGGGTGAATTAGAAACATTGTTCGTCATGGTATTCTTGGAGTACTTTGACTCTAAATTTATCCCTCGTTGCTTCTTGGATGAAGAAGAAGAAGAAGAAGACGAGAGGAAAGAAAATGAGAAGCTAATTTCATGCCCCTTCATCATCTTCCGAACAATTGGCGTAACCGATGATATATAAGATGCCAGCTTGTTGAAGATTCAACCAGCGGTAGAACCCCGAAAGTGTGCTCGCTCGTATTCCTTCGTCCGCTTCTTAACACTTCTTCTTTCTTAGTACCACCAGTGTACTTGCGCTTCACTTATCTTGGTCTGGGGGATTTTCTATCTGACCGACTATGTGGGGGGATTTCAGGGACCAAGAGCTGATCTCTACCCTGTTCCTGAATGAAGTCTTGGGTGTCTTGTTTGAACCGTCGACTAAACACACGATGCCCTCATCTCTTTCTCTTTTGATATGGTAACACAAATACTCGATAATATCGAGGTCGTTGCCGTTGCCGTTGCCGTTACCGTTACTTCAAATGTCGTACTGCATATTCGAGTAAATATTATCCAGCCAAGATCCGAGCCGATGGAAACGGGCCAGTAACGAGATATGGCATTTTAACTTGATCGTCGTACAAAAATTCCGGCTAATAAGTCGTGTAACGAAAGGCCACTAGGTACCATATCATTTTGAGGTTCGCCGTCGCTACAGATATCACGATATAAATTGTAACATTATTTGAAAAGCTTCATGTTTTAAGATTCTTGAATCCATGCAAAAGAAAAATTCATTGCCAACCACGTCATGATGCCTTTGTTAGTTCCAGGGGTCAACTAGTCTTATCTTTCCTTCATGCACTTCCCTCCCAAAATCAAGGTCTTAGAGTCCAGAAGGTGGAAATTGGAAGTTAAACTAACTATCGTTTCCAAGCTTAGTTGTTCCTAAGCTCTAATCTAGCCCCAGTCTAACTCTTGAAAATCTGGCGGGGAGAATTATTTACTTGGAATAATGGAGGGGCCTCCGAGTTTCAAAAGTCGAATTTCTTGTAATCTTACGAGAATTCCATCTTTGGGATTCATTATTTATTCTCGTAGATTCCCTTACATCTTTCTCAAACTTTCTTTAAATCCTATACACCTACCTATATTCTTTTTCTACGACGACTACATTAATTTGGTTATCCATCAAATCCAAGATCAGTATCTTCAAAATCCGTCAATATGGGGGACATTAATGAAGAAAGTAAGCAACCTCTCAATTCCTCAACCACTCCAACATTCCGATTTCAAAGAAGCATACCTAACATCAACAGGAAAACCTACTCCGGAGAACATGACCATGCTCCAAGCCTTTGAATGGTATGTTCCAGACGATCATAAGCATTGGCAAAGACTTCACGATGCAATCCCTTCTCTCAAAGCTACCGGTATCGATAACATGTGGATCCCACCCGGATGCAAAGCTTCTTCTCAATCTGGAAATGGTTATGATGTGTATGATTTGTATGATTTGGGAGAATTCGAACAAAAGGGAGGAAAGGGTACGAAATGGGGTAACAAGGAAGAGTTGGTAAAAATGGTGAAGAAAGCCAATGAGGTTGGGGTAGGAATCTATTGGGATGCTGGTAATACCCCCTCGAAACAATATACTTCTAGCAAGAAAAAAAGCTAACGTTCTTTTCTTCTTCAAGTCCTTAATCACAAAGCAGCAGCAGATCATAAAGAGAAGTGTCTTGCCCAGGAAGTCGACGAGGAAGACCGCACAAAGAACATTTCAGACCCGTATGAAATTGAAGGCTGGCTCGGTTTTGACTTTCCAGGCCGTGGCGATAAATACTCGAAACAAAAGTACCATTGGTATCACTTCTCTGGCACAGATTACAACGACGCAAACCAAAAAACTGCAATCTACAAGATTCTCGGAGATGAAACAAAAGATTGGGCAGATGACGGCGATGTTGATTCCGAAAAGGGTAATTATGATTACCTCATGTTCGCAGATCTAGACTACGGCCATCCAGAAGTAGAAAAAGATGTATTGAATTGGGGAGGATGGCTTGGAGATCAAATCACACTAAAGGGAGTGAGATTCGATGCAGTCAAACATTTCAGTGAGGATTTCCTGGGAAAATTCATTACTCTTATGAATGATAAATACGGCCAAGGATGGTTCTTTGTAGGAGAGTTTTGGAAGGATAGTTTGGATGATATGAACAAATATTTGGATCGCATGGGCAGAAAGTTTAGTCTTTTTGATGCACCATTGGTTTACAACTTCAGCAAATTGAGTAAGACAGAAGGAGGAGACTTAAGAGGTGTATTTGATGATACCTTGGTTCAGACTGCACCAGTCAATGCTGTTGTAAGTCATTCTTTTCTTTTCCTTTCCTCCGAGCTCTCTATTGCTTTTACCTTTCTTTCTCTCAAATACGCAAAACTAACAAGTACCTAGACACTGGTCATGAATCACGACACCTAACCTTACCAGGCTCTTGAAGCCCCTATAGAACCTTTCTTCAAACCTCTCGCCTATGCTCTCATCCTCCTCCGCTTTGATGGCTACCCCTGCATCTTCTACGGTGATCTTTACGGCATAAAAGGCGAACACCCCTTCCCTCCATCATGCGGTGGTGCACTCCCAAATCTTGCTCTAGCCAGAAAGCTCTACGCATATGGCGAACAAAAAGATTACTTCGATTACGCAACCTGTATCGGCTGGGTAAGATATGGAACTTGGGATCGACCATTCGGTTGTGCGGTAGTATTGAGTAATGCGGGACCAGGAGAGAAGAGAATGTTTGTAGGAGAAATGCATGCGGGAGAGAAATGGACGGATGTTTTGGGATGGGAACAAGGAGAGGTAGAGATTGGAGAAGATGGATGGGGAGTTTTCAAGTGTCCAGGAACAAGTGTCAGTGTATGGGTTAATGCTGAAGCGGAGGGGAGAGATAGGTTCGGAAAGTTTGATGATGATATCTACAAGGAGTAGAGAGGTAGATGGATAGATTTGGTGGGTAAATGGACCAATTGATGCAGGGTATTCTGATGTTAGAAGGGTTTTTTACGGGATTCTGGCGCAGGTAGTTCGATGATGGGTATGCGTTAGAGGGATACACACGATACACAAGATAGACAGGATAAACAATTGAATGAATGATTTTCCGCGCAAATGTCTAGCTCATCATCCCAGATCTAATTTTTGTACTTGCTGTCTATCTCTTCGGTCAAGTGACCAACTTCTTTTCCCATACTCTGTTTACGCTCGTCAATTTCACCATTTGATTGGGTGTTTTTTTAAGCATTTTGATTACACATTCGGTCAAAGATAGCTTCAAATAGGTATGCACATTCAAATCATATTTGCCGATACTCCAAAACCCATATCTATATTCGTGTATTCAACTCAAACTTCTTCGTCGCATCTTTCATTCGAGAGAGCGAGTCGACTAGGTTCACATCTGGATCTGGCAGGATCGTTCTGTTTGGACTAGTATCTCTCTCAGCTACTCGTTCCTCCTTTTAATCAGATCCTTAACCAGACATTGTAATCCGTGGGTTCTCTGCAAATGCCTTCACCTGAGTCTCTGACTTCGCTATGCCATGGCTGGAAGTGTTCCGGCGCCGTACTATTCTGTTCGAAGATTGTTTCTCTTGCTCACCCAGGAATCTAGTTCCTCCCGCCCGGGTATCTCTTAGGCCACTTCTCCAAGTCAATTTTCCGTGGCTCTAATTCTGCTTTGAATGCTTTCAATGAGTAATTCCTGGCATCCTCCCAACTGATCCCCTCTCTGTCGGCTATATTAAAAAACTCCTCACAATTCATCTCACTGACAATTGCCTGATCCGGTATCCATTCCTCTACCACCCAATGAGTATCTGTCACAAAACTCACTCCATCTACATATAGATGATTCTTGTCCCCATTCTTCTTAGAAATCTTCCCTCCTGGGGAATTTACAAACTCATTAAAATATAGCTCTGTACTTTGCGCTTTGATGCCCAATTGTCCAAGTCGGTTCAGTGAGATAACAAATATACGGATATCCGCTTCTTCCTCTTTCTTCCATGCGGGCAATTTCATAAGTCGTGCAATGGATGTGGATACAGAGATGTAGGGACTGGGATTGGAGGTGGCATTACAATGGGCTTGGAATGCTTGGCCGTTCTTTTGTCTTTCGCTTGTTACGCCGGAAGCGTAGAGACTATCTGTCCAGCCTGAGCAACGAAATCCGTAAGAGCGAGAATAGGTAGATTTTGATGTTGCAGTGTGCAGGCGGTATAGGAGGATATCGGTACTGGTATTTCTGATTTGAGGGGTGCAGGGAAGAGAGAGGGTGAGTAGATGTTTAACTAGAGCCTCGAGCTCTGATTTGGCGGTGGCAAGCTCGTTTTCGGGAAGTTGATTAAGATGATGAGTGGGGATGAGTTCGTTAGGATGGTCGGGTCGATGGGAAAGAGGGGGTGTAGTGCGGATTATGGGAATACCAGTGAGGTGAGATATCAAATGAGAAGTCCATTTTCGGTAGAATTGGAGGGTTTGATACTGTGGGCGTAGGTCCTCGGATTTGAGATTTGAATCGTGATTAAGGGTGAGAATGAGATTTTCGGAGGATGTGGTAGTGATGGGTGTTGGTGGACTTGAGGGTGCTGGTTTGGGAGAATCGATTTTGATGTGAGATGTGCGAGGTGCATGGGGTGTGCTTGTTCCTTTGTCGGTAGATGACCTGAGATTGTTGAAAGAAGATTCTTGGGATGGTTCAGCAGGAGGTACTGAAAGAGTGGTCGAATTATTTGCAGCTGTTGAAAGAAAATCAAAAGCTGGTACTTGAGTGGAAGTTTGGACTCGTTTCTTGAGTCTTGATGTAGAAGTTGATGGGACATAGCTCTTGTTTCCGAAAGACGGATTGTTGCTCGATGAAGCGAATCCAAATAATGGTCTTGACTTTGCATTTGGCGTTGTCGGAGAATGCACGGAGGTATTCCCGAACAGTGAGCCAGATGGGGTAGCAGGGTTAGGAGCGAAAGAAAAAGCAGGACGAGAAGAAGAGCCATTATTACTTGATGTATGTGTTGAAGTGAATGATGCACCAAGGTCAGATCGGAATAGATTTGGTTCAGATGCGTTGTTTAACGAGGATTCAAACAGGGGAGAAGAGAATGCTGAGGATTGAGGTCTAGTGGGTGTTTCTGTGGAGGTGGAATTCTCATTAGAAAGTGGAGTGGGAGGTTGAAATCCATTACTTGATACGAATCCATCGGCACTGGAGGTTTGGGGAGGTTTTGCGGCGACCTTGTTACTATTGTCATAATTTATGGTCGCAGAATTAGCAAACAGAGTAGCAAAATCGATTTCTGATTCCGTTGTCATTTTGATGTTCAGGTTGATATTTGACTGGTTTCAACTGGATACTATGTAGAGACGAAGGTGAATACTCTGAAGACTTTGATGTTTGTTATTCATCTAGGGATTTGAATAGAAATACCATGATATATCAATCCACAATAAATTCTGAAGAGTGATTGACGCCAACAGGCATCCAATGATAAATCTTCCAATTGCGCTACACAGCTCTACAGACACGGCTGACTACCACTCTGAGAATTCATGGCAATGCAATGTTAGGCGCACTGTCCTGGGATATCATTTGAAAGCCTCGCAATGCATTATCAAAATGTAAAATATACGGGTAGGTTCTCAAATCAATTGCATTCAATGTCATTCAGAAACAAGCTGCAGGTCTCGCGGTAGGTCGGCTATGCGAAGTGGGCTGCTACCAAAAAAGCCGACAACGAATTGTGGAATTGAGCCTTCAACGCCAATGAAATAAATCCAGCTCGAACGCAAGCTTTATTGCACACTCCTTTAGCAATAATTAAGACCTCGAAAGCAAGAAATCAAAATTCGGAAAATTATCTGTCTGCCTAACATGCGGCACGAACAGCACCAAGCCACTCAAGCCGGATGATGCGCGGGAACGATTTGCAACCGCTTGTGGCTTATTGCTGACGGGTTGACGTTTCATATTGGAGCGGGGGGAGATGGAAAATATACGTGGGGATACATTTGAAGTAACCCGGATACACTTTACGATCTCCGTACATTTTGTTTTGACATGGTGAAGTAGACAGCTGGGGAACTTTCGCCTATTGTTCTACAATTCAAAGCATGATATCGGGTACACTGAATATCGTTTATCAACAGATAGATCTAGACACAAATACACCCGAGTGAGATTTGCTAGATTGTTCTAATGATTATAGGAAATATTGAACGGATTGCATGGTAATACAAATCAAATTAGAAGAATGAAATATGCTATCAAATAGGTCTTGAACTATATCGAGATGATTTAGCGCGAGAGACATGTTCGGAAGACGGAGAATGAACCTCAACTCCAGAATAGCTACTTGTAGTAACTTCTCGGGACTGCTATAGTGCAAGAAAGTTCTCAACTAACCGTCCTCCCTAGCAATTTGATTCTCTTTTTCCATGAAACTCTCCGCTTGACATTCTGAAGAAATTTATCGTTTCTGAGGTATTCAAACTGGAAAACAAACAAGTCCGCATATCATGGCTGCTCAATCGCAATTTCAAAACGCCTCTCCGTACTGTCCCGGATCTGAAACTTTTCACTATCCGTCAACATATGTTCACTTTTATCCCTCCTTCTATCATTCAAGAAGTCCAGGACTTCGCCGGTAGCTTTATGTTAAAAGATATTCTTTGCTCCATGTTTTGAGTCCCTTTCTTACTCGAGGAAATTGGTTTATTTTGTTGGTGCAATCAGGACACAACTGTTTTACTGGAAATACTTGCGCTTGCATCCTAGATATGAGGGACGAGAAGAACCCTTTCATCGCAATCTGAAGCTGGCATCGAGGTATCAGGAACGATTTGATCGTTTGGGTCAATGCCGTCAATTCGGCCGAGGAGATAACAGCACCAGTAACGCAGTGTTTTATTGCAATACATGGCTCTCGTTGCAGTCCATGCGACTTTATCATATCTTCTCCTACGACGGCGCCACAAAGGAGGTATCCTCTGTGATGTGATGTGTGTGGGTTTTGATATGCGAAAATCTGAAGTACATTGTGCTAATATGCCTGAGGGCCATCAAAGACTTGATCATCTTGAAAGAGTTGGAGCTACATGGACAATCTCGAAGATGGACGAAAGAACGAGGTTTCTAAATAAAGGTGACGGAATGAGCATTGTAAGAGAATTCCATGGGAGTCTCGAAAACATGTGTCCTTAACTTCAAACCCTCGATTGGTTTCCAGAATTGTTGAGAAAATGATGAGAGAATAAGAACAATTTCTTTAAACATGGCAAAGATCCTTTTCCAAGCATGAAACTTCGCGGCGTTCAACTCTCATACTTTATCATTACGATGAGATGCTAAAATAGGCTTGGTTGATTTATTCTGCTTCCCACCACCAGCAACAGAGACATTGTATTTGGGCCATTGTATCTGGAACCACTATAGAAGCATCTTTGACAGTTTCAAAAGATGAGTTCTCGAGGATATAATGAATTTTTTCCGTACGGAAAAGTTTTGACCCTCTCACAAGACCAACTTACTCCTTCGCAATTGACTCGAAGGACGTGATCTCTTTGGTAAAGAAACCTCCCTTCATACAGATCTCCTCTACATCCATCCACTCGAACAAACCCTTCTATCCGCTTTCCTCACACCAAGCCTCCAAAATCAATATACTAGAGGGTGAGTAGCGGAAGCTTTTCCGCGCTTGTACTATATTCATCACAATTTTGTTACTCATTCCGAGCATAATCCATTTTCAATCCAAGAAATTAGATTGAGAGCAATCCAATCTGCTAAGAGTACCAGATCAGATATATACATATATTTGAACGTATGAGGACAAAAGGCAATACAATGTGATGGATGTGATGCGAGATGAAATTGAAAAATGCTAACATTGGGTATCATATAATTTCGTCTCCTCTCCACCCCCGTTCTTTCCTCGTCTTTTCCCCATTCTATCCCATATCCTCTATCAGTCTATCGTCCAGCAACAGGTCCCCCATAAACACTACTAGCACTATTCGTGAATCTAAATTCCTGTACCACTCGAATCTGACCCTTTTCCACCTCCTCCCCTTCTCCATCTTTCCTCTCATCTCTACTCCAATTCCAGCGATTATGATTTCCATAGCCCGCCTCGATCGTCGTTCTCATATTACTCTTTTCCTTCTTCGGTACTAAATCCAATCGCTGTTGTAATTCCGATATTTGCAATTCTTCTTTCGAGCTCCCATTATCATTGGGAGTATCTGCGTGCGAACGAGAATGGAAATAATTTCCCCTCTCATCTTCACTCGGTGCCGGATTATTACATCCCATGTAGGATCTCCGCAGCGCAGCTTTCGGAACCATAACAACCTCATCATCATCCCATTCCCCGGGTCCCATCTCTTTGATCTTAGGGATTAAAGATTGTTTTCTCCCTCTCGATCGGGATCTTTCGTGATTCAATTTCAGTTCGCCCAACTCGACTTCCTCCTCGCGAAAAGGCGAAGTTCCCGTATGCGATGAGATTTTCGTGGATTGATCACGGACTTGTTGGGAAAAGCGTTTGATTATTGGAGCGACAATTGGAAGATTGGTGACTAGGACCGCGAGAAATGATTCGCGAAGGGACCATTGTCCGCTTGATGTGGCTGTGCCTAAAGTCTTGAGATAGGTTAGTCTTTAGGTGGATGTGGGAGGGGAAGAAGGTTGGTGAAATGAGAGTGGGATAGTTACGTCAGAGCCAGAACTTACGGTCAAGATGGAAACACAACGTAGGATTCCGAAGACGGTGACGAGAAATCCTCCACTGTAAAGGACGAGAAGAAAGAGCTTTTGATATGGCAACATGCCCTTGGTACCAAGAATTGTCTGTAACATGTCAGCTTTGATTTAAGAGGGATGATGTAAGGCTAGGCTGTTTAAACGTACAGGTAGAGGTATAGCCATAATATACATATGTGTTGCTGTATTGATAGACATAATGAAAGCCATTTGAAAGACGGAATTGCCAGAATAACAGGAATCTGTGGTTTGTCATTAGAAAAGTCTCCAAACAGGCTTGATGCCAATTACTCACTTCCTGGATCTGGATAAATTTGCCATTGCTTCTTCAATGGCATGCATTTACAAAATACTACCAGAATGGCTGATAGATATGTGACACCCAACACCACATATCCTATAGTGATACGTTTCAATGACCTTTTTTCAGCAGCTGAACTATGATTCAATGTTAGTCATTATACAATACCGAGATCAAGAGCACCCTTACATCAAACGAGCATAGTAGGTGATCCAACAAGCTTTTAGTAACCACATCAACGTAATATAGGTAACCCAATTCCAAATATGAGTTTTGGCCCCATTAACTCGATACAACCATTCTGAAGAATTAGGGTCAAGATTCTGACGCTCTAACTCAGTCATTCCACCATTCGAATAACCTAACCAGCGAGCCACGAGGTAGTATGATGAGGTTGCTTCAGCTGTATATGCGAACTATCACTGCACATCAGAATCAAATCCCAAGCAAATTGCATCAAAGCACGACGAACCACAACGGCACACATTAAACCATCATCCAACTTTAATTGTGTCCATCCCAGATTCGAGATTCGTGCAGAAATTCTCACTGCAATGAATATGACGGCTATGGCCCAAGATGTCCATGCCTCCACGACGAGATTTGTACAGCTCATATCATCCGGACAGTCTCAAATCCAATGGCCAGGTTTTTGCAGGTCGTTGGCTTCGTAACACCAATACATCGAATATGTCACTGCCAACCAAGCTTTAAGCCAGCTTGAGCACAATGGGGTAATGTGCAACGGCGGAAATTTGTGTATATTTGGAAGTCAAAGAGTACAATTAAAGAGAGTCATGAACAGGTGGAGTATAAGTTCTGGGGTTCGTTGAAGTAAAATGTAAATTTCATGTAGATGCTAATTTCAAATTTCCATCCTTAAAAAAATATCAATGGTATATGATCGATGAAGCCTCGTTTCATTCAATCATTTTTGCTGAAAATTGCCACCATTAGACATGGACATTGCTGGTCAATCAGAAAGTTGCCTAACCTTGTACCTCCACGAATCGATATATTTGGCGAGGATCTACTCTTAAAATGGATCGTATAAATTATTGGGGCACGATACTTGTGGCTGCCAGCAAATATCGCCTTATTTTCCCTCTAGAACCTTTTGAAAATGGGTCCGAAGGAAGATTTGATAATGTTATTTGAGTATGACTGGGTGTGGTGTGTATGTATTGTGGTTCGTGCTATTGAGATATAATGGATACACCATACCAAAGATCAAGGTACATAGTTTGTGGAGAGCTGTCATCTATAAAAATCCACTTAGATTTTAACATGCACCCATGAAATGGGAATAGCTTCAGATGAAATCGACGAAAGACCCACTTGTCATCTTCCGAAACCGAGGCAATTCTCCGTACCTAGTCTCTTTTTGGAGATCAGATGAATGATTGGGTCCTGTATGCTGAGCCATGAAAGATTAAAACAAACCAATGAGAACCCACAATAGAGGTTCGAATAATTGTATCAAGGTCAGAACCGTGGGAGATCACCCATGTTTTCATGAATGCAGCTGAATAGAACCAATGGTTCCAACGATGTATAAAGAACAAGGGACGGAACATTTAAATGAGGGCACCTGTTCGTGAATAGTAATCACTATCTTCCCGTCCGATGTGTCCAGTAACTGCCCTTGAAAGATACCAACTCCGTGCAACTGTCATATATGAAAGTGGGTGTCCAGGTACCATCGTGAGCTTTGAGCTTCGAAGCCTTTGGTAGCTCATACCCACGATCCTAAGATGGCCTGACCTATCACAGAACGAAAAACTACTTTCATAGGGCTTGATGAAGCGATCGTGTAGATAGACCATCGTAGGAGCTCCAATCTTATTCGCAATCCTAACCAGGTTTGAACAAACCGATAAGCTGGAAGCAAACATTTGAAACTCCTTTAATTCTGGCTGGGAGTCAAAGGTAACGAATGATCTATCGAACTCGTCATTCTCGAAAGATTCTATATTAACAGTTCGTTCCCGTCGTTCAGAACATGTGAAGTGAAAGGACTCAAACAAAAGTAAAAGTAGACTATGCCGTAACTCAGGGTTCGGGCGGCTACACTGAGCGAGGAGAGTTTAGGTCTGGGTTTTCCTTGTTTCCTTCATTCAAATTTTGTGCCGTGGTGGGTTGTATCAAGAATGGTATTCCCGTTTGGTTCCATGGTATTAATATGTAAGACGACATATTGACGAGGAGTCGAGATTGTAAATGTTTCCCATTCCCATTCAATCCATTTTATCTCGTTAAAACAGGTAAAGGTCGGAAAGGATCCCCTTTCTGTCTGTTGCCGTGCCGTTTCAATGGGTTGAGAATGGGTTATTGGACTGATAAGAATCTTGGTGATAAGAGAATTGCATACGATACCCCTGCACAGCTCAGCCTCCTGGCACATGACTATCACATGAATCTCACATGATTTTCACATGATTCCCATTATCTTCATCCTCGTTGCATATCTCATTTGATGATGAGCCAAGATCTTTTAAATCTCTTGCCCCTTGGAAGTGATAGGTCGATCAGTCCTAGTCAATCACATCATGTGATTGGCTCTGATTCGCATACATACGATGCATCTCTAGTGTCGGTCGAAAAAATGGGATGAAACATCTGAATTCAACATTCGTTGACACAATGTAGGACCAACACCTCACTGTCGCCAGAAGAATTCCCTTGGATTCCTGTCTTCTTTCATCACAGAGGAAAGATTCAAAAATACACGTCGAGATAATTATCCGGTTTCGAAACTTCACTTCTCGAGTGGGAATGCGCGGTGAGTAGGTATATGCTTGTTTAAACAAGACGCACGACGGCGGTGAAGATATCCTTCCACATGTATCTCTCTCATACGTAGGTATCTATCTCGCTTTGCTTCAATCATTCATATCACTTCATTTCCTCCTGAATTATTCATCCCTTCTAAGTTTCTTTATCGTCAAAGTATATCGATAAATTTTCCAACGCGCCCCTAGAGAAAAATTTAACTTTGGTTTCATCATAAGGCTGGAAACACTAGAAAAATTAGAATTTTCTAGCTTCTCGACTCGATTCATTGCGCAAAGACATCACAAAACCCCTCCATGACTCGAGTGCAAGTAGGAGACTCGAGATAATTTTGCGGAGGAAATTTCTGTGTTGTGGTTTGTTTATAGTGATTTTTTCAGGGGCGTATTTTCGTGTTTGAAATTTTGTTGTTTTCATCATACTCACTTGAACATTCTTTTGATTCTATTTCGATTTACAGTAATAGGGTTTGGATAGTAGCAGGAACACAACCATTTCGATTTATGTTCAACAAGGAAAGGAGGAAAACAGTCACGATGTCAATCATAAAGTCAATCACGACACCAAAATCATGGTTCCCATCAAGGGCATCAAAAGCATCAAAAGCATCAAAGACATCAAAACCATCAGAAACACCAGAGACATCAGAACAACCAACGCCATCTCCCTGGAAATTCCATCAATTCACCCTCCTTCCCCTCGAACTCCAACGCAAGATCTGGCGTTCCCTGTTCCCCTCCTCCCGAACCGTCCCCCTCTCCTTCAACATCACTCCCCTCCAAGCTCACTCCACCCCACCCCCCATCACCCTCTCTATCTGTTCTGAATCACGTTCCGAGACACTCTTATACTATACTCTCCTTTACCGTTCGGAATTTCCAGGATCCCGTGGGAAACTTGGTGGCAATTGCGGGTTTCTCCTCAGTAAATACATGAGACAGCCTATTTGTGTAAATCCGCTCATGGACACCATTTCCTTCTTCGCCGGGGATCTATGCGGCGAGAACCTCAAAGGCCGAAAACGCTTCGTCGAGTGGATGGCATTTTTGAATTCGGTGGATAGGAGGATTTTGGAGCGTGTCACTACGGTGGAGTTGGAGGGCCTGGATTGGGAAAATACGATGTATGTACATCTGAAGTTCCAGGAAGGATTGAGATGTAAGGAAGTGGTGGAGGAGTATGAGGGGCAGGGAGGAGCGGAGAGCTGGGAGCAATTGAATTATGGGGGTTTGTTGACACTGGAGGGATTGCGGGAAATTAGGTGTAGGTATTCTCATTCGGAATATATGGGGAATTTCGAGGGACAGTTAAAGGTTTTCTTGGGATTTCATAAACAGGTTTGGGGTGCGAAGATTCCCCTTGTGAAGAGGGTGTCTTGAGGGGTGACGAGTTGAGTTGATATCTGAAGGTGTACGATTTGATTTATTGAAGGGTTACTAAATCTGGCATGTGAATATGGGTAGAGTACGGCGTTTTGGATTGGAACTTGGGACCATCGATATCAAACCATTAGATATAGCATTTAGATTATAGAATAATCAGTACAGATTCCATTCCATATACGAATATATCTACATTTACATTTTGAAGATACCCGCATTTATGTTATCAAATCGATCTGGGATTCTGTCAATGGCGAGCCTTGGAGCAAATACGGACAACTCTTATCGTTCCACATGTGTGAAACATCAACAGTAAGTAAGTCATAATCAAGCTATAGTTAACGTGAGATAGAAGCTGTATTTCCCGAACATTCCGAGCTTCCATGGATCGCACCAAAGATTGGATAACACTCTCAAAAGTACCTCACATTCAAAACGCACAGTTGGAGCGAAAGATTAAGTAGCAAAACTTGCATTATCATTATTACTTTGCTTTAAATATTCGTAACCATACTCGTGAATCGTCATAAACACCATTACTCCCATCTCCAATGCAATATTCATCTTCATGTTCATCGTCCCCTATTCCAAGCTTCCATTCCCATCCCCGTGCTTGCATTCTGGACTTCTTCAACCATCTACAATCCACAAACACTTCTGTCGACTTGGGTGTAAGTAGCATCAATTCTTCCGAGAGCAACTGCCTGTCCACCGGTCAAGGTATCAAGTGCTCGTTGTCCAATGTTGAATCCCGCAGCAGCGTGATCAATGGCAAGGACATTGATGCTTCTTCCTCCATAGCTCAATTGATAGCAGTTGCCACAGTTTGCATCGTTCCAGCCGGCGATGGTGGATGCACCACCAATGTTGGGGTAGTTTCTGAGGGAACCTTGGGTAGAGTAGCCCTTGGTGAGGAGTCCGTTAGCTCCGTCGGAGCAGGAAACTACGGCGAGAGAACGGCTGGCATCATCGTAGCCGACGTCGTAGGAGACGGTGATGGCTGTTGCGCTAACGGCAAAGGTGAGGAGAGTAGCGAGAGTTGGGAATTGCATTTTGAGTTTGGGTGTCTGAGGTGGTGAGGTTTGTTTTTGAGGTAGAAGTTCTTGTAGATATCTGAGATACTTTGAAGTGATGTTGTAGATGTTGATGTTGATAATGATCTTCCACCACAGCGCACATCATGTCTTATATACCTTCTACCCCTCAAAAGCCCCTCACGCAAGCCTCACCTCCGCCCCAGTAATTCACCAGATAATTTTCCGTACATGTCGCCTCCTCCCACCCATCGAAACTCGTGATAGCGGGGTACCTACCAGGACCGCATTGCCTGCATTGTCAATTACGAGAAACATCCCATTGCAACTAAATCAGATGATATCTATCAAAACTATTCATAACCCCATCAGTAGAGTCTCCTCTCAGCAATACGAGAAGAACAGCGGTATATGCACGCTGTATGCAAGGCTGTGCGGGTACGAAGATCTTGGCATCGAAGCGGTATCGTGTGCATCTTCCGGACGCCTCGATCTCATGCTTAATCCTCCGCATTTCCATCACTTTGGAGTGATAAATTTACATAAACCGAGTCTCATTCATTGATAAGGCGAGTACGAGATGATGGAAGCAGTGAGGGATGTATCCATACGGTTGACTACGTCAGATGCATGTGAATCTAGAAATAGATAACGAGTACCGTACCAGATGCCGATCTCCTCGTATTCCAACGATTGTTCCATAGATTTCTATGTTTGCCAATACTTGCCAAGCTCACTTGCCTTGAATACTCACAGTTGAAGAATAACAAGTTCCGCTTTTTGCGATGCCGAATGATCTTATGGGGTGAGAGTGTTGTGTTGTGTTGGGTGAGGAGTGGTGTGAGTGTGTTGTCAGATGGAGTGGTGGTGGATGGGGATCTCGGGAGTCAGGGAAGTGAAGTGGCACGAGCGGCTTTGATTTTGGTGGCTGGAAACTTCCCCGCAATTTTTGTTTGTTCGACGACAGCACCAAATTTGGAAGCAAGAAGATGCGGAAGTATCATTCCTGACGACGACATCGAAGTTAATGTTTGGTATTGGAATAACTTCGGAAGTCTTAGTCGAGTGGGAAGATTCAACTGTCAGAACGTGAAGTCTCAATGATGAGCTAGATCTTGTCTCACGGCTGCCTTTGCAAATTCTCCTCCCTCCAACGTTTGCTCCCGTCAGTTCTTTGATGGTTGTTTTGGTTCAAGATGGAGGTGTCTAGTGACCGGTGCACTAATGCATATACTAGAACTTCACTGTTTGCTTTTGTTGTAAACGCTAACTTCATCTTCCTCTTCCTCCATCAAGTTTTAAAATGTCACTATTCGATGGTGAAAGCTTTCCTAGAGAGTAATTTTTCTTTTCTATATCAGCTCTGATCACTCATGGGTGTACTGTCAGCAGAGTTGTGTAGGTAGGTAGGTATTCACACATTTTTGAAGACGTGAACACAGGTGACAAAGCACAATTCACCATAGTGGATCTCGGCAATGTCGGACATTGATTCACAGAGGGGCCAGCTCTTCATAAACTGTTCACATTATTTGCATGGAGATCCCAGTCACAACAACAATTATCAAACACAGTCGAGGCTGGAAGTCTAACAACATGTAAGGCCATGACAAGTACATCCTTTATTTTCTACAAACTTCTTCGATACTCCAATATTTACTACTCCATCGCCGCAGTCTTGATACTGACAAGAATAACTGCTCTTGTCCTAAGATCTCCAGAACCCCGGCACACTGAACCGAAGCATAAGCTAGGGAGATGCTCGAGATTGGTGCACTACCAGTCTGCCTTTGGAAACCATCTACAGTATCTCGCGCAAGGAGAAAGATTGATGAGGAGAGCCACGTTATGGGAATTCGTACCGATAAGATTTGTATCAGCAAGCAGGAATACTCGATGAAATATGGGCTACAGGGTGGGTAGATCTTGATTGCCGGTGACAAAATAGTGGGGCGTTGAGATGAAGCAAATTCCCGTCGAAGATCAATTCTAGAGACTTCTCGGCGCAATTTTGGACCTCGGGATCTCGATGTCGAGCATAACTGAAACAAAACTACGAACGCTGGAAGACTTTCTTAATGCCGAAGCAAACTATTAGTCCATTGGTCTCGTGTGCTCTGAAATAGTCATACAAAGCGACCAAGAGTCACAAAAGAGACATCCCCTTTCCCGGCTCGTCCCCTCCCTCAGATGCCAAAAAAAAAAAAAAAAAAAAACATACAACAGTGGGGATTCGCTGGTGGTCACCCACCCAACTACTAATCCACCGATCTGAAGCTTGTGTATGGCAGAGCGGACGGGATGCCCAATTCTCTTCAGTCTATGGTCGTATGTGATAGTGGGCACGTTTTATGGTATTATATTGGGACAAAAGACAAAGCAACACTTCAATGAAATTAAATTTGAATTATTATCCTACACAAGACTAGCAACTACCTTCTCTGACAGCCCAACTAGCTCTGCTGAACAATGTTGCGGAGTTGCTCTGGCTGGATCTGTTCTCTAGGCTTGATCGGGCTACCTGCCAGCATGCCTTGGTAGATTTCACTATCCTCGGCAAGCGAGTTCAGGAAATCACTTCAAGATGAAGTGATTTCCCGAATGGTGTATCTTGGCTGGAGCGCCTCTTGCCTGGGCGCATTGCCTTGGTGGCAAGGCAGGGAAAAAGTAACAACCAGCAAATGCCGCCGCATTTGAAATGCCTGAAAGGATATCAGTGAAGAACACAGTGTCGTGGTTGAGTGTAGGAAAGGGCTCGATGGGTATTAATCGGCAGATGAAGTAGATGGTGTGGACGCAAAGTTGCCTGGCTTGACTCAAGCCACCGGCAACTTTGAATTTACTTGAGTCCCAATGGCTTTCTTCACCGCACCAATTCTTCGTCACGTAATCCTTTTCGAAGGAGACAACTTTTGGAAAATCTTTCAAGCTCCATTGGAACCTATCAAGGAAGCGTTATTAAAGCAGTCTTGAGAGGGAAGAATCATACTAACATCATCTACCCAGTGATGGGATGGGGCTTCTAGGTTGATCTAAGGGCATTTGGTAATGACTGGCTCTCCGATATGGGTCTAGACGAAAGGTTGATGAGAGGCAAAGCTGTCGATGCTCTATTCAAGGCCTGTGGTTTCAGGGAGGCGCCCTCTTCCTCCGCTCCACCCTCTCCACTTTGCTCATCCTCATCGGATGTGAGAAGTCCGGGATCGAGTGCAAGGCAGCAAAGTCACTGCATACCCTGTTTGAAGGGGTATATGAAGGCGTTGGGACCCTTGGGTAGGGACTTAGACAGGTATCAATTGGCTAAAGCAAAATAGAAATCAGTACCTTGTATTATGGACAATGGAATTAAAATCCGAAGACTTACCAGGTAGCCGCTGAAAACATTCTTGTTTTCCCTTTCTGTACGGCCTGTCGGCGAACAGTTTACAAGCTGGTCGGAGTGTGAGCCTCAAACTCTGCTCTGCACATAGAGTCTGATTCTCTTGTTAACTATCAGTCAATGAGAAGCCCATGGATAGAACTCACCATAATCCCACGACTCTCTGCCAACAGCTTCTCAAACACTTCAGCACGATGAGAAAAAGGAAGCGCACGCCGAAGCGGCTATGGTTAACTGTATTCTATTGGTACTACTTGTCCACCTCCTACATATACACTATCAATAACAGGAACCCATCTCCCATCTCCCATCATCAAAATATCTGCAAAGTAATATCTCAAACAACACCAATTCCACATTATCCACACACATGCCACCTTGCGCCCTTCAGGTATTCAAGAACACCAGATCGAAACATCGTCATTCACGATTGAACGACGACCACCGTTCAATCCCCACAGCCACACAGGCACTTCAAGTAAAGAAGAGCCTGCCTGGGCAGGCAGACAACTTAATATTTTTGAAGATCTGCTTTGGAGCAGATGTGACGATGGCAACTATATCAAATCTAAACTAACACGTCTTGTGACCCGGCAAGTCCAGAAGTCAATGAATAAGTCTTGGTCTCACTCCCCTTGCAAGAGGTAAATCTAGCTTGGAAGAGTGACACCAGGACATATTCATTTACCTCTGGGCCGAGACCGCCCACGAATGGTGCTTCGTACTCGCAAGAGGGAAGCAGTCCTGGAACAATGATACCAGGACATACTCATTTACCTCTGGACCGAGGTCGTCATCTCCTTGGTATAATGTTAGAGATGCCAAGGCTTATACGTTTGCAGGATGAGAAGTTTGAGACGTACTTACAGTGTTCTGACATCGAGGTCAGTGTGATGGGCCGGGAGGTGGCATATTGGAACTCTCATTGCTCGTTGTACCTCATCTATATCAACGGCATTACGCCTGAAAAGATGTTCGAGGCGATGAATATACATTTTCATGATCTCAGGAAGGGAATCGGCGCGCCGGAAGCCACGAGTCGTTGCCGAAAGTAGTGAACCGCTATAAGTCATTTATGTCAGTGGTGATACGCTTGAAGAGAGACTCGAAGTGTTGAATATAGATCTTCATGATCTTAAAAAGTACATCAGGTGTGGGCATGCTAGTTGCATGCTGGAAGTTGGAATGAGATGACTTACATGACTTACTACCCTCTGGGACTTGCGAATACAGAAGCTCATTTGGCTTTGGAAGTCCGCGAGTTCTGAGACTTGCCGCGACCAGTGGCCAGCGAATTTCTGGGTGCTTCTTGGATAGCATTGTATCGACAGGTATGCCGCTATTGGACGCTATAACATACAAATCGAGCTGCCTTCCATGATTCTCTCTGGTGTCGATAGTGTCCAACTTGAATTTGCTGGAGGAGGCGGATTGCTATATAACAGATCAGTTTCTGAGGATTGGAGAGATGTCGAGGCTATAAGCAAGCTATCATGGGCTCTGGAATCTCAAAGAAAGCCATAGATAGTTGTGGACTTACTATGAATTGTATGTCGTATCATTAAATGGTATGAAGTCCAAGGACTTGATTCGATCTTCAATTGTTGAAGTCCAACAGAAATTAATCGGGATGCCAATATTTGTGGATTTGACAAGCCGTTTCTTGATGGCACCAATATGTAAAGCAGTCGTACTATCGAACAAGGAAAGTAACTGCGAAGTATAAGATTATCTCAAAGACTTTGAAAGTTGTAATGTTATTGTCGAGATTGTGGGAAGTTTGGAGAATGGAAGAGCTCCAGGACTTTAAATGGCTATCCCAATCCCGAAACAAGACAAGAGTTCTTTGAAGGTCTTACTTCGGGTTTATATTTGAATTTTGAATATCACAAATCTCGAGCAGTTGTGTGAGCACCGACTATCGAAGCGAGGGCTTTGATTTTTGTTGAACCTAGACTCACTTCTAACAGAGCTTCTTGTTTGTTTATTGATATGTTTGTTATTGCTTCCATAGTGTTCAATGAACATTGAATTTTCTTTGCAACATGAACCATGCAAAAACAACAGGTTACTGTCATGCTCATGGATGAACGACAGTAGAAGATTTGCTGTCAAGGCAATAGACAAAGTGAGGTTCCTCGTAACCTGTGAATTTCACTACCTGTATCAACATTCGATCTCTGAGTATACAATGGTTATAAGTAGTAACCCTCTCTGGATTGATAGTATGTTGATATATAGTAAATTGTCCTGAGATTTCCAAGTTGGGAACTCTCTGCCAATACATGTTTACTTTTCCTTCGCCATCAAAATAACTCTCTATCATGGAAATAAGTCAGCCCAGAACAAGTGGTATTCTATACGCAATTCTTATTTTCTTTGAAAGTTACTTTGATGGAAGTATTTGGGGGAAGTCTACCTCGTTATTATTTCTGATCTCAACACAAGGACAAATCAAACATACTATGTTCACGTAGAATTCTGATATGGGAAGTGATACGTATCATTTAATATCTCACGGCGCACGCTTTCCATGCATGAGCATTTATTTTTAATATTTTCCATCTGATATTTCTGAGGTCTCTATACTATATTATAGTATGTATGTAAGATTGAATCTTCTGTATGTCCTTGCGAGAAATAAATTTTCATTTGACTTCCATGATTTTTTCCCAGTAAGCAGTCAGCAACGAGGAAGAGAGTTCTCATGCGTTGCTCAGCCAGCCTCTCATATCACATAAAGACTTTCTAGTATATGCTGCTCGACTACTAGGTAGCATAGCTTCTGATCCTATAGATAGTTCATCTTTCAGTTCGTGATTTCATCACCATCTCTCAATTAATCATCCCGGCACCTACTTCTCATTTTTTCTTCCTTTGATGATATCCTGTCTCCAGAGAACTTCCATGTCATCAGCTAGCAAACAAAATTCAAAATATCACGACCCGATTATGAGATGTGGATATCATCAGACGTACTGAATCGCAAGCTAATGAATGGCGTATTGTTAAGCGAGTTAGTACCTACATTAAGAGCCGCAAAATATCATGGATCTACATTCCATAGACACACTTCACTAATGAAGATGGCACTTCTATTTTCAAAATGTATGTCCTATTACTAGGTAATGGTGATTGCAAGCTTCAGCAATTTACCCGCTAAAGTCTTTTATCCTTCAGACGACAATTACCTCTCAACGCTCCTCGCTCAGAAACAACCACAATGTAACTATGGGATGGCATCTCAAGATCTACAATATCCTCATTGACAATTCAACATTCACTCCATTCATCAATCCTCCAGCCCCTCATTTATCTGCTTATCCTCGGCATGACTGATCATAAAGCAAGATAAGAAGATGTAAACAAAGTGAATTCGACTCCGCCTCATGTCTACTTAAGTGTTCCCTAGGTGATAATTCCGCGCTCGGTCGCGTTTTCTTCACGAATAATTCCCAGCATTTCATGTGGTCCTATTGACTACCTCTAGAACCATTGCATGTCTCATTGCACATCTCACTGAACGCATTCGATTCTTTTATTTATTCCTCTGATAGCATTCGACTTTTGTCCGTCACTGCTGATAATCTTTCCGACAACTTCCGAATATTTTTGTCAGTCATCAACACGTTACACGCCATATACTCTCTGGCATAAACATAGACTTCAGTGATAAGATGACATTTGTTCATGTAGGAAAGACGCCTGTTCCGCAACGTATCGTACCCAAATTCTCCAATGAGGTCTTCTATCCTGGAAGCGCCCCTGCTGGTGTTACTCCACAGTATTTCACAACTTTAAATGTCTATCAACAATGGCTGCAAATTTTCGGTCCAGGTGTTCCTCTTCCTGAAGATGATCGAAACATGCCAGGTTATCCTCAAAAGCACCTGCGCACGGAAACTGGTGAAGAGGGTCCCCTATATCGCTATTGTAGCAAGGAAAGAGTTTGGAAGCCCAGGTCCGAATTTCCCATAAGCAATGGCAGGTTTCTATCCACATGTATTAATTGTAAAACGGTTGATGAAAGAAGGGCAGCTAAACGACTAGGAGAATCATTGAAGAACAGGAACGAGGGCTCATTCCAAGGACTACAGCCGAATCAGGATGTGATCGCACGATCTTCGCAACGAAGCATGCCCACTAATCAGCAAAAATCTAGTGTTGCCAATTTGCCTCTGAGGCCGAAGGCTAAAGTATCCACTGCCAAGTCTATACCAAAATATCCTATGCCCGTACCAGTATTCGCTACACCAGCTCTGGGTCCGCCTAAGAAGACCACATCAAGGCTCGAGGAATTTAAAGGAATGCAATTTGAGGTAGAAAGGCTTCGATCCAGTCTTATTGGTCATGGGAGAGTCAAGAAACTATACGAAGCGAAATTAGAGAAATTCACTATGGCGACGGATCGTGTCAGTGAAGGGAGTGAGGACGACAGAGGTAAGAGAATGGCCGAGGCAGCGAGGCTCCAAGACCTCATATCCAAAGTGGATGATAAAATTAATAAAGCCCGAAGTAAGCTGGATGTTGTCAATCTTATGATTGATCTTATGGCTGATATGAATAAAGACGATATTGGCTACCTAAGCAACAATGAAGACACGGGTTTTCCTAGTATCGATGAGGAACGGAATATAGAATCACTCAACAGCCCTGAGAACTTCGATAATGCAAGAGAAGCAGGTGTTGACTTTGCTGGTCAAACCAACGATTCATTGCAGTTTTCGCCAACGCCGCATAGCTATCCTCCACTAGATGAAGATGGTCATATACTCAGCAAAGATGACCCATCTATTTCAGATCTTGATTTCGTGAGCGGATTGGAGGCCACGGCCGAAAAAGAGCCTGGAGATGGAACGAGAGATGTGGATATGAACTCCGAACTTGATAGTCTGGCTAGTGTAAGCGCCATTGTTCCCTGTGCTGATTCCTCCGTACTTCCTCAAAATCGAGACAGCATTGACCCAAACCTTCAACAGTTTTCAAACATCCAAACAGAGAATCCTCAACCTCAAGAGGGACTCGAAATTAATCGATTCCGAGCGCTGTCAGTCTCCCAAGACGTTCAAGATCAACATGCTCCATCTTACAAATCTCAATCTCGACAATCTTCTTCTCAACAACAATTCCAATTTCAGCCTCGCCCACCCTCGATGTTCAGAGACCTCAATCCGCATCGGCCATACCAAACTTCAGATCAGAATTCGAATCATTTACAACCCTATAAAGCTACGAATACTGCCGCTAAACCCTCCCCGTTGACCACACAAACCCCTGACCTGAATTCAAACCTCTTCAAAAATTCCAATCCTACCATCGCCTTTCAGTTTAGACAGTCTGATACGGTGGGAAAATTCGGGCATTATGGTGTCAAGATAGAGGAAGATGTTGGGGAAGTTCAGACTTTGGCCTCACATCAAACACGAGAAACTGTTCAGCAAGCACAACAATACCAACCGAATGAACCAATGAAAATGTCTCAGTTGGCGCTAAAGGCGAAAAATGTTTATGAGCAAACAGCTCAACAGGCGCGGATGGATAAAGAGTCACAAGAAGCACACGATGGACCGATCCAAGAGGAACTACCAAAGCCGACTAGAGTGGTCCAACAGCCGAAACAAGCTTGCGAAGAACCGGCTCAAGATCAATTGACCGAAGAACAAGTAGCTCAAAATGCAAAAATCTTTTACGAGCGACAAGCTTCCGAGAAACAAGCCCAACAGAATGAAACAACTCGGGAGGCGAGTGTGGCTCACGACCAAGTAATCCAAGAACAGCTAGCTAAAGAACAGCCAGTACAACAGACTGAACTGTTCCAATTAGCGAAGCTAGCTTGTGACCGACTCGCTCAGGATCAATCGGCCGAAAAACGACGTGCTGAAAGGGCAAGAGACGTTTATGACCAACTAGCTTACGAGAAACGAACCGGACAAGTCGGAACAACCTACAAGATAACTCAAGGTTATGACCAAATGGACGAAGACGAAATGGACCAAGATCAACTAGCCGAGGACCAGTTAGCTGAAGACCAATTAGCCCAAAAAGCAACCGACGCACAAGACGTCTACGACCAACGAGCTTGCGAGATACGAGATCAAAGAAATGTACTAGTGAAACACGTCCATGATGCTCACGACCAACACTCCCAACTATCTCAGAAGACCCAGCTCGCTCTGCAGGACCAACAGGGAATCAGAACTCGGAAAGCAGAATACCAAGCAAGAATACAAAGAAACCCCTTTGGATCGCTCCCGAAATTCCATTCACTTCCAAATCATGAATTGGCCCGACCAACCCAAGGCATACAATCCCTCAAACGACGCGCCGACGAAACTTTAGAACCACGAAACCAACCCCAACCTGAACATTCTATTCGACGATCCAAGCGAGCCAGACGTCGAGCAGAGACAGAAGCGGAGATGCAGGAATGAGAAGATATGCGTGCAAAGCGAAGACAGCTACGAGCGGAGATGTTGGAGTTGCGGTAGATAGAGATGGCTACTAAACGTTCGCTGAAGGATAGATGGAGATACGAGAAGGAGTGAGAAATTTTATGTGTGTGTGTTGTATGGGGTGGTGTGAGGGAGATGTGACGGTGAGGATATTGTCTGTGGGGATTTGAGAAATGGATCATGGGTGATCATACTGTGGGATGGATTGGATGGATTTTAATGTATGAGCATTTGTAGGTTAGTTGTTGAATTTTTGTTTTCTTTAAAGGATGTGGGTGTTTATGACAGATTTATTTTCGTTCTGAGAGTGGGAGAGAAATCACGGTTTCTCTCGAGGTGATGGCAGGAGGAGTGTATGACGCGATATGATGATACGATACGGTATGGTACGATGTGTTATGATTCGATGAAAGATACGATGGACGATATGAGAGCATATGGGAACAGATTCAATGGAAACCCAGTATTCAGAATACTTGTTATGTTACCCTTCAATTGACAGTTCCATTCAATCGATCGTTCGTGGAAATGTGATATTTGAACAGCTGTAAAGATCTTTCGAAAGCGTAGATAACATTATAAATTCGTCGCCATACACATGCTTTGTACAGGCCTATAAAAACGACAACATCCGGTATTGCCGGAAACAGCACCGTAAGGAATATATACAAGAAACAAGATTCCTAAGACTCTCCATCCATTCTCCATCCACCCCTTATCTACTCATCCATCCCCCAATCTCCCCTTCTCTTATCCATCGCAAATTTAAGAAACAGTGATGGTAGCGGAACCACTGCTTTGGTAACCCTCAACAGCGACAATTTGGTAGTTGTAAGAAGATCCGAGAGTCAATCCCAACTTCTTCCAGGCAGCGAAATGGTTCTTGGTGGTAACGGTACCGCTAGTACGCTTGCTGGTACGGACAGACCAGTATTGCTTGAAGGTAGCAGTTCCTTGCACGGAAGGTTGGTTTACACGGGTGGTCTCGAGGATCTTGTAGGTGGAACCGTCGGAGGTGACGCTGCCGATCTCGGTGGCGGCGGAGGAAGGATCGTAGGTACCAAAGTCTTCGACGATGTAGTATTCAATGAGGGGGTTGGTGGTCCAACCGTAGACGGAGAGGTAGGAGTTTCCGTTGGGCTTGTAGGATCCGCTGTAGGAGATGGATCTTTGGGGAGGGATTAGTTTGATGTTTTTTTTTTCAAAGACGACAAAAGGAAGGAATGAGAACTTACCGCTCGGAACCAACGGACCATCCCTTTCCACCGACAAAGTTTCCCTTGTTACCGGTCCAGGTTACGGCGTATTGACCAGCGGCTCCGTTGGAGTAGGTAACACCACCGCTTCCATCGGTCCAGAAGGAGTAGTAGTATCCACCACTTGTACCAGTAGCGGAAGAAGTCAATGCTCTTTGTTGCAAAACGTTCAAGTTCTCGCTGACGGGTGCTGCGGCCGGAGCGGAGAAGACACCAGCGATAGCTGATGCAGCGAGAAGGAGGGAAGATGCAGAAACCATTGTGAAGATTTGTTTGAAAGAGTGAAGTAGTTAGTTGTTGAAAGAGAGTATGTGAGTGTGATGATTTTCTCTAAACTTGAGAGCAGATACAACTTATATATCTAGATCCAAGATCGTTTGCTCCATCCGGAGTACCCCTACATCTGTCATTTGCAGCCCCTTCATCCATCATTTCTCCCAAGAGAAACTTTAAAGCACATCTGGTCTCCACTATATTCAATCTGGCCACTGGACCTTAAAGTGGCATTCTTCAATATATCCCGCAAAGGTATTGGATATGCAATAATTGCATCCACAATATTTCTACATCAAACGTCTTTATTCTCCGTTTCTAAATGTTTAATCTAAATCCCTGCCTCGACCCACAAATGTGTATCGGCTATATGCAAAGATAGAGCAAGGTACTACCCCGCATTGAGGCTTCACGAGTCCAAAACCAACTGTAATTTCGGACGAGTTTCTCAATTAGAGTTATAGGTTCAAGATCCAGACTTGCCAATTGGGATAAGGGGGATGGATGAACGTCATGCGATCGAAACGGTAGTTGTCAAATATGTTGATGATGCTTTGGAGATGGGGATTGGCTATGGGATGAACGGGGATGAAATAAGATTTTGGATGGGAAACTTAAATTGCAAATCGAGTAAGTTGTGGTGTGATAGTGTTAACCGTGGAAAAGCTTGATGTACGGGTATTCTAGTAGTAGACTAGTGAACTTCTGTCAACACATATGCGAAATCCACATCATTCATGATAGTGCGAAGTAAAATACAGTAGATAGGTCACTCGTCCCTTGAATATTGAAAATCATTTGCCTGGTATTGATTGATTATTCTGTATAAATCAAGCAAAAGCGTCTTGGTTGATACATCACACACTTGATGCGAAAAAAGCATTACATTGGTTTAAAGGTGCGAACGAGCGCCTCCACTCCAAGGTTGTTTCACAAAAGGGGTCTTCGGTACCACCTTTGAAAGGTACCGACATCCGGCTAAATGTGGATAAAATACTAGTGCATCTGGATATATACCCATCATCAATACTACTATACCCTATAGTAAGTAGCCATTGACGATTACAAATTTGATGCTCCGGGTAACTTTTAAGATCGTCTCTATAGAAATAGAAGCGGAACTAGAACCATTTTAACGGAGTAAGCTTAAATTAGAGTATGTCAGTTCCGGGTCCAAGAGTCTTGGACATCAAATCCAAACAGCACTTCCTCGATGAACCATTCATTTTCGAAGAGAATGACGCTGATGCTTTAATCCTGACTAATAACTCACTCATGATCAAGACATCATTTCTCTATCGACTCGGCAATTGAGTTTCTATGAGGTGGTGGTATTTACTCAACTACCTACCTGATAGACCCAACTACCCACCAGGCATGCGTAAATTCTAGCCCATCTCCATCTTCATCTCCATCACTCATCCGCATATTAAACAATCTCACGATCGATGTATCGAGGACCAAGATGATGATCTAGTTAATTCCCTCATTTCAAATCATATACACGAGACCTAACCATTCATTCTATTCCAAACAGCACCTCAGAACAACGCATCTCACAAGACTTCGGTAGATACCTAGCTTCCCCCCTCCCCCAAAAGAACTTTAACCAGAAAGAAGAAAAGAAAAGAGTAGAGAAGGCTTCATCACCTTTCGAAGTTTCGCCAAGTCGAAACAAGTTCTTCCTATCAAATCTCAAACCAGCCCATCAGTGCCTTCCCATCTTCTTTCTTTCTTATTCATTCCAACTACCTAGGTACCATGACTCGAAACTTCCAACTTTCAACCCAATTCTTAACTTATAGTATCCATTATATTTGATTCGGTAAATTACTCTTATGCTCCTCCAAAGCCAATGAATTGCTTTCATATTCCAAAAAGCTCATTTGTTCGACTATCATACTCTTTAGATCCTAGATTAGATTGTAGAATAGAATCCCATTTCAAGAGCATAGTATTCAGTCTGTATTAAATAGAATCTATGGAGAAAATTAAGGGAAAAGTGATGTTGTTGTAGTTTTAGATTCTACTCTCAACCTATAGAATCTATTCTCCCATATAGATTTCACTTTTAATCCATATAACCTACTCGCCACCTATAGAATTTACCCTCTCCCTACAGATCTTACTCTCCACCCATAGATGTCACTACCCTCTTATAGATTCCATGCTTCCCCTATAGATTCTACTTTTACACTCTAGGTTTCACCCTCCACTTAAAAAAATCTACCCTTCCGCTATAGAATCTAATCTAAAGTAGCTTCTATATAGAATCTGCTATAGATTATAAGAGCATGAGAGTGAGTTACCGTATCCTAAATTTATTCTCCAAAGAAAGAAACATTCACTTCATGTTTTTCTTCCCTCAGTTCCAATTACAATTGAAATTACGTACCAAAAACCCAATACCCATATAACTACATATATATTCATACAATACCCATGTAAATACTTGACCACCTACAGCCCCCTTATAATTCCTATGCTCTTCTCTCATAATCTTGCCATGCGTCCTACCCTAGCTCCTCCCATCCTCACCCTGCTACACGCAGACTTATCTCTTTCACTTGCTCAAATCAACAGAACAACAAACAAAAGATAAAACAATATATATTAATATATTCTCACACAGCACCCTTCCCCCTGAATCCAAATGTATAGATGCCATACTATTACCTCCCCTTTCCCTACAATCCCCTTTCCCTACAATCTCCTCTCTTTACAATCTTTTCATTTTACAATCTCCTTTTTACAATCTTCTCTACTTACAGTGTCTCCTCTCTTTTCAATATCCTTCTCTCAGAAGCCTACATCTTCCAACTTCTCAAAAGAAATACCCTCCGCCATCCAAGTCCTCTCCAATAAATCAAACAAGAAACAACGAATGAGATCACATACATTCACATCATCGCCCCTTCCAAGACTTAAATACATAAAATCCTATCCCAATTTTACATCATCTTCTTCCAATTTCGATTTCACTTCCAATCTTAATTACATACACAAGACCTAGAAAACAATATAACTATCTATTATTTTTCTATGAATTCCCTTCCATTCCATCTCACTCTATTTCTTCTCTCCTCACCCTCTATGTGCTTTTGATTCCTCTATCTTCCCTCTCCACCAAGCTACTCACTTTTTCTCCACTCACTAGCTCAGAATATAAACAAATAAACTTCAGAAACAAACAAAAAGCAAAACTCACAAATCTATACATGTACATACCTCCACACACACACACACAACCCAGGATCCAAATACATAAATCCCCATCCTCATTCAATGAAACTATTCATCCATTTATTTATCTACTCGAGTACCTACCTATCTACACGATAACCAAACATGATCCCTTACAGCTCCCCAGAATCCCATCTAATTCCCCTATTAATCTCATCTTCTCTCTCCCAACCTCCTACAATCCCCTATCTCCTACCTTCTCTCAACTAATATACTTCCATTACTTCGTTACTTCCTCCACTCTCGTCAAATAAACAAAGAGAATCAAATAAAATCAAGATCATGTAATCTGTCCTAGATGCAAATGTGGCAATAATTATCACCCAAATTCTCATTCTAATTCTATCCTAATTCTCAGTCTATCAATTCTAATTCTATTCTAATTCTAATTCTAATTCTAAATTCTAATTCTAATTCTAATTCGAATTCTAATTCTAATTCTAATTCTAATTCTAATTCTAATTCTAACTCATGAAAAATATACACCTAGCCATCTATCTACTCACTTACCACCTATCTTTCCTTACTTATCATAATTCATACATACACAATACATCAACCTCTCTCCCAGAGTCTAGAATCCAGATTCTAACTCCCATCTCATTGAAAATATCTATCCTCTCACCTACCAACTTATTCATCTACCCATCCGCTCAAACAATAACCATACACATATATTCATATATATACATATACAACTATCTTCTCCCTCTTCTCCCTCTCTTCTCACCTCAAAATCCAGATACACAAATACATATGTGAAATCCAAAATCCCAATCCCAATTTCAATCCTAACCCTATTTTATGAAGAGAAAAAAAACCACATCTACCTATCTACATCTATTCAAACAACAAACACAAACATCCACGCACACACATCCCCTCTCCCCAAAAATTCAAATCCATAACCCTTAATCCCAATCCCAATTCATCTATCTATCACCCATCCATCTATAACAAAAACACTCTACTGTAAACACTATATCACAACCACTACATCACAACCACGATACCACAAACCCCCATCACCTTAAATAACCATCTATTATCTATTATCTACCCAACTCCTCCAATATAAAGTTTCAATGCATTTTATCTACCTCCTCCTTCCCCCTTCCCTCCCAATTTACTTATCCATCTAATTACTTATCTTTTCTCTCGTTGATTCTCATCTACTTATCCACTCATTTATCTATACAATGAAACCACCAACCACCAACCAATATAATTGACAAAACACTTATCCATTTATCTACCCATCTACCTATCTACCCATTCATATACATTATACCCAGCCAATCAATCAATCACCACCCATCAACCCAGATCCCAAATCCCAAACCCCAAACCCCAAACCCCAAAACTCCGCCAAAACGAAATTCAACAAAACGAAACGAAATACATCTATTTCTTACTCATCTCCCTCTACCTATACCTTCTACCTACCTAGGTATACCTATCTAACCATAAACACTACACATACCTAGGTATCTCCTCAGATATGGATACGACACTACTATAACACACTATATATATCATTTACACCACCTATACCATCTATATACACATCTATTATCAACCTCCTCAAATGTATCTTACTAACAAATTGTATAAGATCACTACACCACACCCCCTATACTCACTGATCTACCTACCTAACCTACCCACTCACACACCCACCCACTACCAGGTGATACTTAATCACCCATCCACCCACTCACTCATCCACTCACACACTCCATACATGTTTATCTTGGCAAAGAGGTAGGATGAATACCCTAAGTAGATACTTTCGAATAAATTAATAAATTACAAGAATGTTACATACCCTATACCCACTTACAAAGCCCCAGACTCTACTTCTAACTGAATCAATCCCCTAATCCACAATGCTCTAGGCTCATATGCTATAAGTCTACAATACAGTACACCATCCAAGTACAACTAAGACACATGAGTATACCTGGTATCTATTGATTTCTTCATCATCTCATATAATACATATCTATTCATCCATCCCATCAATCATCACCACAATTATTCCATCACACCATCGCCCCAGCCTCAGGGTATATCATCTAACATCACATCCGTTCCACACTAATCCATTTCCTTCCATCCAACTCGAAGAACCTCCCCCCCCCCCCAAACATTCCTAAAAACCAAAAAGCCACGCTAATCTCAAGCACAAATTCCATGCATTACACCTGGGTATATATGAGCTCCTCTCTCTTAGAAGCTCAAAGCCAAACGCCGCGCCAAAATTTTATCGC